AGCTCAAACCAAACAACAGAACTACTGGTTCTGTTCATGACCGTAACTGTGGTTTCCAACATTTTCTTGGTGCTCCTAACCCATTCACCAACTCTTACTGGAGCCTGCTTATGACGTGTTCATTTCAATCAGGTGTGTTAAACAGACAGGAGTCTCCGAAAGATTACGCTTTCTTCTGAGTTCAGCCAAGTGGTGTGAATCCCAAGAAAGTTTTGGAATTCCCACCAGTCGTCGTGAGAGCAGAGCTGAAGCAAAGCGCCGCTGCCCCCTGGCGGCTGCGCGGAGTAATTCTTCCGCTTCCCTCCCACGGCAGGCAGATGGGATGCTGCTGGAGGAATTTTCAAGGCGGGCTCTTCGTGGAGAGACCCAGGTGTTGGGACAACGTCCACGGGCGGCTAATCACCAGAGTGTTACAACACCTCAGCATTACCTGCTGCAAGGGCCATTTTGGACGCACTTATCGACCAAACAGGCGGTGCAGCTCGATATTCTCTCTCTCTGTCCGCTCTGCTGGGTGCAGAAGAAGCCAGACGGAAGTTAGTGGATGGCAGCTGCTCTTCTCCACAAGTTCACAATGAAGACACGGGTTTTTCTCCTGGTGCTTGCTGTTTTCTCCTGTGCACTCGCACAGGTTGACGAAAGTGAAACAGATGAGCTGCAGGTCGAGACACTGGTGAGTATTACAGCATAACAGCAGGAAATACTATAATGCAACATCCTGAAACAAAATAACAGTTTCTGAACTCTTCGTGCCGTAGGTGAAACCAGAAACTTGTTCAGTACTCTCCACAATTGGAGACACGCTGAAAGTCCACTACACAGTAAGTCAATCAGACACTCAGCTCTTCTTTACCCCATAAAGCAGCGAGCCCGTCTGTATTTGGGGAAGGAACCTATTTTATTTCAATTTTTTATTTTTATTTTTTACAAACAACGGCAGAGACGAGCCCAGCTGATGACGAGGGCAGATGTTGTCTATGTGGCACCGTCCGCATGAACCATGTGGATCCCGCTGCATTTCCATACAGCGGCTCAGGCTGAGTGATAAAAAGCCTCAGGCTCGGGATTTAGAGGCCATCCAGACTCACACTTTGGACATGATGTGGTTTTACGCGTCTGTGTTTCATGTGACTTTAAACGGGAACCGATTCGACTTAGGTTTTTACTATGAGGCATATAGGGGCGGTGCAACACGTCAGCATAATACCAGCTCGGCTGGACAGCGCTTTCATTTTTATTATGGTAGAAATATAAAAAATGATAGCAGTGATTTATAATGTTCAGTTGCTCTCACTGTTTAATCCAGTTGTGTCGCTTTAAAATAACATTAAAAATATCGAAACCTTTTCCATCTGTTTCTCATTCAAAATATTTACAAATAACATGGGCGGCACGGTTAATTGTTAATAAAGCGTCCAGATATAATCTCGGGAGGTTTTTCTGGTATTTAAAACCCAAGTGGGGTTTACAGTAGATGGAAAAATCTGGTAATAAATAACTTAACTTTACATCTAAGGTATTGGTCTATGAGGTATATTTTTTCCACCACAAAAAAAACAACAAAAAAACAAACATAAGTGAAAAAGAACAGATTAAGTAAACACGTTTGTTTCTGATGTGTTTGGAGAACAGTAAATATTTCAATATATATATTTAAAATAGTTTCAACCCTACCACGTGGGTGGCGGTGTCATGGGTGAGGCATGTTCGTGAGAAGTACCACATATGGTACTGACCATTTATTTTCCCTTAATACTACAAATAATATAGATTATTATAAAATTGAGAAAAAAGGAAAATAAAGAAATCAATACAATCTCCCCCAAAATTTAGACAATACTAACTTACTTTCTTTTTTTATTATTAAATTGTGAGCTGGAGGTTGAAATTTCCATTAATGTCATAAGTTGAATTTTAAGTTCATTACATATCTATTGCTGCAATTATTATTACTATTACTATTACCTCTAATAGTAATAGTAATTTTTACTATTAATAGTCATAATAATTGTGATAATAATTATGATTATTCGTCAACATGTGACGCTGAGGGGACCTGCAAGCTTCAATATGTGACGAGTCGGGAGTGAGAATGTGTTGGATTATTATCATTAATAATAATAATTAATATTACCATAAATTCTGAATAAGATATAAATAAGGCGATTTTTGTTAAAAACATTTAAGATAACCACACACCTGGTCACTGATGTCTTTATTTTAATCTTACATATGTTAGTAAGAGAAATGTCGAATGATTTCTTCTTATCAAAAGTAATTGGACCAAAAATCTGTTTCGCATGACGTTGTTGTTTTACATTTTTGGTTATTCATATATTCTGCTACAATTAATTGCAAAACCTTAACTGATTACACACCTGGTGCGAGAAAAAAAACAATAGCCATCAACTCTGAAATCTTAGTTTTTCCTCTTTCTTACTCTTGTTCCTGTTTCTCTGGTTGCTCAGGGAAAGCTGATGGATGGGCAGATGATCGACTCCTCGCTGTCCCGGGATCCTCTCGTTATAGTGTTGGGGAAGAGGACAGTTATTCCTGGTAAATTAACAAATAATAATATTAATAATGCAACTTTCCTGCAGCAGCATCACTGACACTTCATTGAGACCTTTTATTTCCTTACCGTCAGTGTTGTGTGATTTTTCCTTACAGGTCTGGAGCAAAGCTTGATTGGTGTTTGTGAAGGGTAAGTCCCACAGGCGAGAAAAATCTCGATTTTGTCAAAAAAAAAAAGAGAGAAGAAAACACTTTATAAATGTGTCAAATGATTTTTCAGAAACAAATGTTGTTTTCCTGTCTTCAGGCAAAAAATAAAAGCCACCATTCCTTCTCACCTTGCATATGGAAAAAAAGGATACCCTCCTACAATTCCAGGTACCCAGACCAAACGATGACAATTAAAACGTAATGATGCATTTTATTAAGTCACTTCTCTGACGGCAAAATACCGCGTCTGTCGCAGGTGATGCTACACTTGAGTTCGAGGTGGAGGTGCTTTCTCTCTCACCGCAGACGCAGTGGCAGAAGATCATCAACGACATTTTCCCCCTGGTGTGTTTTGCCCTGGTGCCCATGCTGCTCGGCCTGGTGGGGCTTTACCTCTACAAAAAGGCCAACGCCCAGAAGGCCAGCAAAAAGAAGTCCAAAGATAAGAAGAGCAAGAAGAAATGAGGTCCGGGCAGAGAATTTAATTTAAATAAACTTTTTCAAGGACTTTGTTTTTTTTTTTTGCTTACTTCATACAGATGACCATTTTGTAAGCGCTTTGTGAAAAAACAATATTCTATAGAAACTATGTCAAAAATGTTTTTAAAATTGAGCCAAATCTTTACAATCTTTCCCAAGATCTTTTGGGAAAACGGTCTGTGTTCTGACGAAAAGAACACATACCGTGTGTTCTTTTCAGAAGTTAGTTTTACTTCTGCTGTAAAACTAACCATTTTATAAAAGAGCGTCATTCTACAGTCAAACACAGTGGGGGCAGTATGGCGATCCGGGACTGCTCTGGCTGTTGGTGGAACCATGAACTCAGATCTTTTTTAGAAACATGTGATGGTGAATGTGAGGCCATCCGTTTGTGACTTTAATGCAGCAGAACAATGATCCAAAGCACAACAAAAAGTTCATCACTGAATGGCCGAAAAAAAAAAAAAACTTAATGGTTTTGGAGTGGTCTAGTCAAAGTTCACATTTTTCCTTAAAAATATTTTTGGAAGCCTGATATTTAAAATCAGTTTGTCACAAAAAAGAAATACGAACAGAAGAAAATAATTTTAAAAAATCTAAACAGAAACAATACTTTTTCACAACACTTTGTTTTCTGTAAAAAGAAAACAATCACAAAATCTTTAAGAAAAATCACCTTCAGAACGATTACAAAGCAGCAACAACCTGGTTGCCTAATGGTTCACACACCCCGTCTGATAAGGATTTCCTGACATTTGGAGAATTAGCTAAAGCCAGAGTTTGCAAAGAGGTTTAAAAGGATCAAAATCATATCTTTGGAGAACAGCTGATGAGTCAGGATAAGGATATACCCCAGTTCACAGAAGTATAACATGTAATGCTTGAATAAACGGCCGTCTTCAAGAAAATACCTGGCTGGGGTTGAAGGAAGAATTGCAAAACAGGATTCTTGTCCTGCAGAGAAATCCAGAGCTGGGTAATTATTTTGTGCTATGTTCTGTTGATATCAGTAGGACTTTCTGGGCCTAAATCCTGTTTGTCAGAAATAAACAAAAAGCACAAACTGTCAGCAAAAGAATACCACATCCACATTAAAGTGCGGTAATGGCAGCACCAATCTTGAGGGGATTTTTGTTCAAATCTTTAGAAGTCCACTAAAAAAACTCCGATTAAGAAGTATTTTATGTTTTCAGATTTGCAGAGTGTCTAAGTGCACATCTAAGTCAACAAAACAATGATTCAATGAAAGGGGAATTAAAGTTCTGGTACCCAGGTTAGGGTCAAAAGGAGTTGTGAATAGATTCAACTAAAGACAAACTAGTACAACTGAATTAAAATGTGATTCACAGAGTTTGACTTTCAGGGTGTGTGAAATCCTCTGTAATGCTACTGCATTATAATTACAGGTCAGTATTGAGTCATCACTTGCGCACTGTCGAGCAATTAGTGCAGGGTTTATATCGAGAAATTTATTAAAGTAGTGTCCAAAAACACAAATATGTCTGTCGGTGTGTGAGAATGGGTAACGGAAATGAATAAATCGTTACATCTGACCAAGGACAACGATTGTACAAGTTATAACAAATCAAATGCAAATGACCGATACCTTGCAAAACAAGATTGAGAAAAGACTAAGAATTACTCTCATATATAGACATAAATATACGTTGATATGAGATGATATGTGAGATATTTTTATTTTAGACATCTTCTTCTGCAGACGGTAGGTTTTACTCTATGGTTAAATCAGTCAGAGGGCGGAGCGGACGGGTTCTTGTGTCGCCGTGCAGCCTCTTCCGGTCCTCTTTCCAGCTTCCCGTGCAACATGGTGAGTGTGTGCTACCGACGGCGGCATTTCACAAACATAATAAACTCGTATTTTAATCGAAATCTGTGGCGTTCCGAACACATTTAAGCATTTTTAAACACATAACGAATACGTGACACGTAGAACAGGCTATTTATATATGTCAGAACATGTAATAAAAGAGTCGGGGCCTAATGCTAACCGTTAGCAGGCTAGCCGTTTTGTGCATGTGTTCGTTGGGCTGGCTAACGATAAAGTAGCTGCTAACGTAAACTGAGACGAGCTGCAGCAACATAAATATGTCACACAAATTAGATTCTCAAGAGCGCTAGTTCATGAAAACGCTAAATTGACAATACATAGATGTAAATACGTCTCTTTTGCCAGCTAGAGGTTCAAAACCCCGAAGCTAACCTTTTTCTAGTGGGTTAGTCGGCTAACCTACCGCATCTTTGATGAGACGTTTTAACCCTAATATCTGTTTTAATTAAACGCACCTCTCTATTATTGGAGGTTCACAATGACCTAGTTTTCATTCCCGAGTGTTGTGAATTGTACTACAGATTTATATCTCAAGGCTTCAAACGCAATTTCATTTTGAATCCATCATAAGAATAAGAGATGTACTATTGTCTATCCTTTAGCATTTAGCTTATTCGTAATAGATACGCAGTAGGTATTTAAAATTGTATGTAGGGAAAAAAAAATTATTTGATACCAAGATCTTGTTTGGAGTGTTACAAAGATAAAGCTACAGAGCTTTAAAAGCTGATATTCTGGGGTAATGTGTTCCTTGGCTTACATTGAAACTTGAGATAAAACCAGCCAAAATACCAAAACGGGCTGAAATTCAAAACCTTTAGATGTTGTCATGAAATGTTAAAAGTTTTGGATTGCCCTGCCTTTTCAGATATTGTCAGTAAATTGAGTTGTAGCAGTCCTCTTAACCAACATAACTACCAAGAATTTATATACAGACAATCTCATATTTCACAACACATCATTGAATAAAAAGATGGCAAACCGTCCAGGTAAAAGTGTTATTGAATAATCTATATTAGTGAACAGATGAAGAAATGTGGAGATGTCGCGTATTGCTATGGAAATGAAAACAGTCACCTGAGTTTAGTATTTTATATATATATATATATATATATATATATATATTTACATGGGCTCTGTGTTACAGACCAAGAAGAGGAGAAACAACGGTCGTGCCAAGAAGGGCCGTGGACACGTGCAGCCCATCCGCTGCACAAACTGCGCCCGCTGCGTCCCCAAGGACAAGGCCATTAAGAAGTTTGTCATCAGGAACATTGTGGAGGCAGCGGCTGTGAGAGACATCTCAGATGCCAGCGTCTTTGACTGTGAGTGTCCTCTCAAACAAAATACTTAAAATTTCAGCAGTGAATTAAGAGTAAGAATTTGAATTTAAAAAAACAAAGGGGAAAATCTACATGGGTTATATTAGACAGAAAATAGGTATTTAGATGTTTGATAAAAGCTGCACTTCAGGTTTTAGAATGTTAAGTTGAAAGATCAGATTTGTTGATTTGTGTACTAATGAGTGACATTTACCAACCATGACCTGGCAGCTAAGATTGACAGATATTTTTTAAAGAAGCTCCAAAGCCCATTTTTTGTATTTTTATATTAATGTGTCATTCTTCACTTTTCAGCTTATGTTCTGCCCAAGCTCTACGTGAAGCTGCACTACTGTGTCAGCTGTGCCATCCACAGCAAAGTGGTGAGGAACCGCTCCTGTGAGGCCAGGAAGGACCGAACCCCACCACCAAGATTCAGGCCCGCTGTGAGTTTTTCTCCAGACTTCATAAGTCGTCTGACTGGCTCTGGAATAAGCCGGCTTCCAGATTTAAACTAAAATAACTTGGTTGAGATGAGCTCACAAGACATTTGTAGCGGGTCCTTGTGTTAACGTTTCTGTTTTTCTTTACAGGCTGGCGCACCAAGAGCTCCTCCAAAACCAATGTAAAGTGAAATCTGAAGATGCTGTGTTCCTGAAAAAAGAAAATTAAAACATCTTTACAAAACTTGAATCAGTGAAACTCAAGTCTCTTTGTTTTTCTAGGAAACACATCTTAGATTTTATTTAGGGTAGACGCTTACAGTACAAAACTTACAGCAAGTTCAGATTGAGTCAAGCAAATGCAAAAGTACATGATACATTTAAAAAGCTGTAGTTATTTAAAGCAATATTGAGAGGAAAAAGATTAAATCGAACATTAAAGAAGCGTCACAAAGATCACTATAGTAAATATAATTACTTGGATTGGTTTATTTTTGTAGTGATTTATCGGGAACGTTTTTGGATTGGCTCAGGAACAAATAGCTTTGGTAGGACACGAGGGATCAAACTTGTGCCTTTAGCAGAAAAATATAGAATACGACGTATTGTAAATTTGAGAGCCAAGACGATTCTTTTAGATTCTTTTATGGGATCAACGAAAAAACAAATAAGCCAGTAGTTTAGAAGCTGGATCTGATCAGTTTGGGATAATTAATCTGGACCAAAACAGCATTTAGCATATAAAAGACAGCTGTTAGAAAAATAAAACTAAAGGCACAACATTTATTTCTACATTTAAAAAGTTTTACCATGGGAGCTTAAATGAAAACGCAAAGGGAGACCTCGGGATTAAATGCTTTCACTGTACAAATCTATTTAAGACGAATGCTTCAAAGTCAACATTCTTTACAATGAGGTCAGTAGGTGTTGAAATGAGCTGCAGGAATCTATAAATTTCAGAAAACCTCTCTTCCCTGTGCAACACTATCCTCAGGAAGGCAGGATATTGTTCACTGCTGAAGAATGGGAATTTTATTTCCTGTCAAAAGGAAACTTCATGTGAATTTAGACTTTGAAATATTAAAGTGCAATGTGACTCAAGTCTGTTTTAGCAGAGATATGTGCTTAGTTAAAACCTTCCATCCAGATTAAATGAGGTATACGTTTATGTCAGTCACACAGTTTGAAAGCACTTCCACAAAATAAAGTGGAGATGAGGATTATAATGTCCAAAAGCCTTTAATAATAGCAATAAACAGCCTTTTCCCAAATGTACAAATGTCTGAACTTTCCTCTCGCCGCTATAACCAAGGAAAAGTGCTTTACAGTAGCAAACAAGTGGTTCTTTGGCCCAGCTATGAGGAGATTATTTGGTGCCGCACCGAACCACACTAATACCAAACAAACACGTTGCCTTAAACTGTTATTTTCAAACATTTTATGTTTCAGAATGTCTGCATATCTAAACAACTGTTAAAACTGCAAGAATCAATGAACTGTGATCAGTAAGACAAAACAGGAACTGTTCACAACACTAGCACAACCACTAACATTCATTTAGAGCCTGAAGTGGCTGAGTGGGCTCAATTTAGTTCGTCTTAGGAAAGCAACATTGTTTTGAACCTGGAAATAAGAAAACTAATGAATGAAAAACTGACAAGGGAAAAGACTCGAACCATGATCACAAGGTTGAGGTCTTGAATTTTAAGAACATTTTTCAAAATTCTGTTTATTTTAAGTGACATCAATCATTCCTGTTGACTCTAGATTCAAACTGCCTTCTGGGCAGAACATTGTGCTTTAACCACTGAAAGGTCTGACAACCCTAACCCCTAACCTTCAACTTTCATAACAGGATAGCAGGTTAGGTTTTGCTAAACAGGGTAAACATTTGCTGAAAAGACACAGATAATCTAAAATGCATTAAATATTAACAAAAATAAGAACGCAAGTGTTTAAACCATTCTGAAACTTGAACTTATTGTGACGTCCAGAAAGACAAGAAGTCTAGCAGCTCTAGCCTGGGGAACAAGTCAAAGGCACAATACAATGACAGAACATCAAACTCATTTTAAATACATCATAAATAGATTTGTTATATATATATATATTAGTGTTGGATTAGGTCTTAATTTAGTTTTCAAAGGGAAGTTCTGAACTCATTAAACTCTGGCAGTGATATCTAAACCCCGCTCCTCTCAAGGCAGAGCTTTCAGCCGGTTTTTCCTCACATTATATCGTGCAGAGCATTAACATATCTCTATAAAATAATTTAATATCAGATTTCTGGCAGGTATCAGTGCAAACAAAACAGTCAAGAGAAGAAAACAGATTCATACATTATTCCTCAAGGCGTCGAGTCGACAAACAAAAACAAGGGCCTTCATTATCCACTTTTACAACAAAACTAAGGGCCCCTCGGGGTCGTTCTCTCACACACACCAATACATACAAATACGAATCTCTTCATTTCACCTCTTGTAAAAACCAAAGTGCATTTCTAATATAATATAAAGGACACCCCCTTCCAATGTTTTACTTTAGCTAACATGGACTTGGTTTTGAGCTTGAGTTGTACTTTTTGAAATAAAGCGACTCCACAGGATTCCTCCAGGATTAAAGAAACGTTAAAGAAAAAGCATCAACTTCGAAAGAAGCATTCATTTCTTTAAAGACTTCACCACAGCCTTTCCCGTGTTACTTCTGATGAGGATTTGTCTACTATAATTTGTGCATGCAGTCTGAATCCTGAAATTTGGTGCAAGGCACGTCTGTGGATAAAAGAATGCATTTCGTCCTTCTACACTTTGGAACACCTTTAATGAAAATGTACCTTAAATACTTATATCACTCATAAAATAACTAGAGACCCTATTACAATTTTGTGCCAGGATCTGAAACATTCAGGAGCGGCTTCTCGCTGTCAGTGACCCCTTCAAGTCCATGTGCAGATCAAACCAAGCCAGGTCCTCGTCTGAGTTGGGGTAGGGGGAGGAAAGCTCTGTGTGAACAGAAGGGCGGCCGGCGTTCACCCTCAGTCTAGAATGTGCTCGCCGCGGACAATGTGTGAAGAAAATTCGTATCTGTCCTTGCTGCGGTAGCCACAGATGTTGCACTCGAAAGGCTGTCGGAAACCGTGGCAGCCCATGTGGATGGTAAACATGACGTGGTCCAAGAAAAGCACGCGGCAGTGCTCGCAGCGGAACGACCGCACAGCCCGCCCTTCTGCATCGACGACCCGGAAGGCCTCCCTGGAGGTAGAGGAAGGCGCCGTGGGTGAGCTGGAAGTTGGAGCTGAGGCGGGAGGCGGAAACGCCGAGTGTCCTCCCTCTTCTCTTTCCAGCTCCCGATCTTTGGCTCGGCTGGGGCTGCGTCTCTCCCGACTCCTGTGGTGTGAGGTGGGAGGAGGTCTGGCGACGTGGTTGCTGGAGTGAAGGAGCTGATGCCCGTTGTTACTGGGCAACGTTGGGACAGGGGCCGTGCTGTTGCAGGGCTCGTCCGGCATGCTTTCCGTGTCTGTGGAGTCCTGGAAACCATTGCTAGGTGACGGCGCGTGACTTCGGCCGGCAGGAAGGTCTTCGTGACCCTCTGCTGCCTCCCTCCCCCCGACAACAACAGCTCCCAGCCCAACTCCGGTGCCTGTGCAATCCAACCTCAGGCCCAGAGCAGCGGAGGTGTGAGGGGCGCTGAGGCTCGGCCGGAGTTCTTTAAAATAGGATGGATGAGTGGTAGGAAGGTGTAGAGGCCTAATGGCATCTGATAATCCTCCTCCATTACCTGCTGTGTACTCTCCAAGGCTGGCGAAGTGAGGGGCTTCCAGGTCCCCAGCTTGCATGTCCTCGCCCTTATCCAAGCCAGCTGTCAGGTCATAAGGTGCATCCACAATGTTGAGGCGCATGTGCTTCTGTCCTGCAACATAAAGACACACACAATCTCATGATATAATATGCAGTTCCATCAAATAAGTTATTACCGAAACTTTTGATGTGTTCTATGCAATGCTTTACCATTTATATTCCTGAAAGACTTTTGTTCCTAATTGTTTCTTATTACAGCCTTAAGGATGACAAAATGAGGAAAACCTTGAAGGTGTCTGAATACTTTAGAAAGGTACTTCATGTCTTCATGAGGCCAGTTAGCTATAAATGTGTTTTGCTTTAGTTAAATCACTGAAGTCCTTCCTACTGCACTACTAGAAACAGAATTGGGAAGCTACTTGAACCCTCTGGGAGAATAAACACAGAGGACTGGCAATCCCATCAAAAAGGCAGATCTGACTACCTGAATTTACACTTAAAGCAACAAATATTGCTTTGTTAAATCCCTAAAACCGTCCACACTGAGACTAAATGCTCACCTACAAATTTTTGTGGTGTGGATCTTTTGCGTTTAGTGACGCTGTTGGCGAGCCGATCGATAAAAGCCATCTTGTCTGAGGACGGCTGCAGAAGAGAGTCTGGTACAAACTCTAGCTCTCTCATCTCCTCTCCTGGACAGAGTACAAACAAACTGTTACGTTACTTTAAAGTTTCCTCATGACTCAGACAGCGTTTCTTATGAGTCCTAGTTTGCTGCGGAATCTAAAACCACAGTTTGGGGTTTTCAGGCAATTACGGAAGGAGGATTGTGGTCATCAACGTGTAAAGGAGTTTTTACGCTCACCATTCTGTAAGAGGAATAAGTGCCAGTACTATACCTAGATTTTGAGCACTGTTTGTTGGTTGTGACTCCAGACTCTGTAGGTAACCATGGCAGCGCTCATGGTGTTCCTCCAGGGTGCTTTGCTGCTTGTAACTACGGCCACAAAAGTTGCATTTATATGGCTTCCCTATGGTTGGAGAGGACACTGGAGGTAGAGGAGAAAGACAGTTATAACTCAGACTGATTGTAAGAAAGAAAACAACAACAAAACACACTTCTGAGGTATTAAATTGTTCTACCTGCATGAGTGCGTAAGTGCCCAGTAAGGGCATCTCTTCTTCGACAAGCATAGCTGCAAAAGGGACATTTAAACGGCTTCTCTCCTGAGTGCAGCTTGATGTGGCGGAGCAGGTTTCCTTTTTGGGTGAATGAGGCGCCACACTGGTTACACTGAAATGGTCTTTCCCCTGTGAATTGTAAAATAAGTTAGCACATGTTCTCTTCAAACAACTACATGCGCTTACTGCACTGTGTTAGTCTACTTAGACAAGAACGCAGGATTTGTTTGTTTTCATTTTTTACATTTTAGACATTTGAGTACTAAGAATT